AATGAAGCAAGCTGCAAGAGAGTGAGCCGAGTCCACCTATCCCCCTCTTTGTGTGATCCCTCTAAGCCTCTCACATAACCTCTTTCCCCTTTCTTAACAGGTTATGAGCCTTAAGCTCCCTGCCTACACTTTATCTACACTCTACTATGTCTATGCTCTATACAGTTCTACACATCACATGCACACACACAGTATACTATGATGTGGAACTTGACTCACCTGTCTGAGTATCCCAAATGCAAATCAATATGCTGCAGACACACAATCTACTATACTACATACAACCCAGACATTATATGATTGTCATCTTAGTGATTATGATCATTGGCCCAGTAATAATGTAATCTATGCAGGCAACATTGAAACTACAATGAGTATCACTTACTGCAATTATTAAATGCTGAAATACACTATAATATCATAGAGATCATGTTATAATAAATTAACTGATCATACTACAGACAAATGTTAAAAAGATTAATAAAGCAAATGCTACTCTTCTGCTATTAACATTACAATAGTACAAATGATTGACACTGTCAATGAGCACACATATGTTATAGTATAAATCAAATAATAACATATATAGTAATATCACAGCTGAACGATTAATGCTCAAAACAAGTGTATATATGCTAAACAACATATTAAATCAAATAACTAAAACATTTAACATGCATTATAAACAATAATATAATTACAGACACTATAATAACAACAATAATAACAATAATAATGATAATAATACAGATAGAACTAACAGAACAAATACAGAACAATATAATAACTAACACATATTATGGTTGAGCAATTATATGTAACATATCAGATTCAGTGGTTACATGTCAGATATTGCAATTACTTATCAGATACCAAATATAATACACATATCTAAGATATACAGACAAGTACAGATATACAAAAGTATAATGAATAACTACAAACCAAAAAACAATGCTACAGAGCATATAAACTAACTACACACAAAAGAATAATGTTATAACACATAAATACTGATTACAGCACAAGACAAGTGCAAAAATTATAATTATTAAACAAATGATACTACTTTACACATTAATACAATTGTGTAAATGCATACTAACAACAAACAAAAGAATTATATCTCTAATATACTCAAAACAATGCATCAATACAACTTAATTACACAGAACGTGTTATCACAGCAGCTGATTATATAATAAATTTCAAAGTTGCAACAGTAACATCAACTGACCTTAACAAACAATTATTAAATTTACATTGTGACAACATAGCTTGTAGGAGCAAAGTATTAAGCTGATAAGGCTATTACAACAAACAATACAAATATAATTATTACAAACACATTATTATAATAATTACAATCAAAAACAATCATAATATAAAATGATTAAATAAATTAATAAAACGTTTAAGCCATTATCTCAGACAGTATAATATAAAATAGGTAATAACAGATGTGAGCATACTTAATAGAACTCAGTGCATTTACTAAAAGCACTACATAAATAATAATTATAATGTTATTAAATGAATAATATACAGAAACAAACAAATTACCATATGTTTTCAACACAAAAACAAAATATTCATTCATAATTATGAACAATAATTAATAAAAGATAACGAGCACAAACAAAACTTGTAAATTATACATAATGTGTACTTATCTACTATAATGAACAAAATACACATTATATAAGTTGACAAACATTAACAGTAACAAAGATATAATAGTAATAACATTTAAATTACTCATTATAGAACATAACAAATGTTACACACTGCTTTAAAATACTAATAATTAGAAATCAAACTACAAAAGCAATTACAATTATTATATATAAATATTATATTATAACAATGATTAATAAATGTTAAAGAAATATCCAATTCTTTGAAGAAATACCTTCTTGAATTGAAGGGGAGAAAATGGATAATATGTACAAACAATTAATAACTAAATATAAACAATGGAACAGAAAGTATAACACTACAGACACTACAAAAAATAGAATAACAAAATTCACAGACTAAGCACTGACTAAGCAATAGAAGTTACAGACAGACATAATGGATCATAAAGGTAAATCATTCAGTACAAAGCAAAACTATGTTGATCAGAACTAAATAACAGAAGTCAACACAATGTGTAATTGAACTTTAACATTAAATAAATAATAATTCTACTATGAAACAAATGCTCATACTTGGCAAATAATATTAATATGATAATATAATTAACTTAACAGTGTTTAATACAAAAATAAATAATATACAGATGATTATCACATCATATAATGAAATAATTCATTAACCCAGACTATAGTTCATGGATAAAAGTGATGAATAACAAAAATAATACTTTGGAACATACATAAAACAATAAATAATATATCTATATGATAATACAAATATAATTGCAATATAATTTGCAACTACAACCAAACAATATGTAGATAATAACTATATAAACAAGTATGGAGTGTATACATATAATTAAATAAAACTATTAAATCAATTCTTGTACAAACAATTAATTTGCCCTCACTGCACAATTAATACAAGTGTGAACAGTATTATAATACTATGAAATACATTGGATAGATACTAATAGGTATATCTATACAATGATTCAAATAAAATAAACAAAACCAATATATAAAACGTTTTACCTAGCAAACCAATTAATAAATAAAACATTGAACAAATACTACAATTGCACATAGCACTAGATTAACTAAAGTACACTAGGAAACAATTATAGTAAACATAATCCAATATATCACTTATATGTAGATTGTGTTACAATACATTATTCTTTGCAAAAGAAAAAGTGAAGAACAATAGCCATAACATACACACATATATATACACAATACTATGATTGTAACAATTCACAATAACATTGTTAATAATAAATAATACAAACACACAATAGAAATGATTTATGACAGATAACTATGTTGGCTATTAAAGAAACAATGTGACAGATCACATAGTTACTCAGGATACATCAGAAACAATCAATTAACAAACATAATGTTAATAAAT